AATTGGCAGAGACTTTCACGTCCGCAGTGCGGGGTGAGAAGTGCACATGGCGACCCTTCTGCTGTCCCGCAGGAGGCGGTGATGCCTCCATGCCGAAGTTCCGCTGGAGTTCCATGGGCCCGCTACAACTAGACGCGGAGAAAGAAGTCGCACGGGAGTGATTTGGGGGAGGGGTGAGCGAGCGATTGCGACTCCCGCCATTGCACTGGTTACTCGTGGAGGGTCGCGGCCCCTGTCGCCTGGGCTGCCCAACAGCCACGAGAAGCGAATTTCGCTCCGCCTGCACGACTTGAAGCTCTCGCTGAGCTGCCTGGAGGGCATTCGCGAGTTTCGCAGCTTCCTGCTTTTGGATTTCGCCAGCTGCTGCAGAGGGATCTGCACTGGAAGGGGAAATTCGGGGACTGTCTGCCGCCCAGCTTGCAAGTGCAGCCTCCATTTCGTCGGCGAGCGAATCCCTTTCCAGCTCAGCCTGCTGCAGTGCGGATTTTGTCCGCCCAAGCTCGTCCTCCCGCACAGCTACTTTGCCGGACAGTTCTGAGTTTTGCGCCTCAGACCGCTGAAGCGCACTCTCCGTCGCCGCAAGCTTGCGCGTGAGCTCCCCCAAAGCCCGCTCCATCTCCAAAATATGATTCCCCACCGCCATGTCCCCTTCGCTTCCGCCACGCCGCGGAGAGCGTTTGTACGCCTGCGCGCGGAGGGAATCGATTTCCCGCTCCATCGCTGCGCCTGCTGCCTGCATGCCCTCCAGCTGGCGCTCCAAATCCGCCACGTGATCCCACGCGCTGCGAAGCTCCTCCTCCAACAATTTCCGCTCGCCTTCCGACGCTCCCAGAAGCTGGTCCTTGGCGCAAATCTCCGCCTTGAGCGCGTCGATGAGCGACTCGAGCTCCCGCTGCTGCGACGCCTCGAAAACTTCGGTCTCCCTTTGTTGCACGCGCTGCTCCTGCTGTTCCCGTGGGTCCCGCGAAGTAGAGGAAACGGCACGGGCGGCCATGGAAAACGAATTTGAACGCGCGAAAGAAACTGCTGCGGAGCGGCCGATGCTGGCACTCGCCGAAGCCGCAATACCCGCAGCAGCTCCATTCGCTCCCGCCAGCCGCGCTTCGTCGGCCGGCTCCACTTGGGTGACCCGGTCGCAGAACGAACGGGAGCGTTCGCGAGGCACTGAAGGGTGCGACAACCGGCGGTTACCACTGGGTGTTGCCGCTACCGAGGTTTCGCGTATGGATACGGAGGGGGACGATTCGAGCATGTCTCCTACGCGGCTGGGCCGGCGCGCGTGGTGATGATTCTGCGAGATTGACGCCGAGCGGTGATGTGACTGTAACGCAGGGTTCAACTCGAACGAGCCCGAGTGAATCGAACCAGTACCGTGGCCGGTAGCGCTTGTTGTCTGATCGTTGAAGGTATTTGGGAAAACACCAGCGAAGCTCTTCTGGCGTTGATGATGGCGACTCTGCGTGACAGGGGCTTGCGCGGGTGAGGCGGCGACGGGCGATTCCTGAAAGGAAGGCTGGCGAGCGAACTCTTTACTTTGTGACTTTTGGCGAGTGACCTGCGGCTTGCCACCCTTTGCGCCGCTTGCGCCGGTTGCGTCGCTCGGGCCCTTCCGGTTCCGCCTGGCGGCCTCCGCGGCTCGGAGATACTCCATTTCAACAGGCTCCTCCACGAATTGCTCCATTATCGCGAAAAATTCGTCCATCGGGTCGTCCTGCGACGGCTTTTCGCACGCGGTGCTGCTGTTGCTGTCGATGCTGCTGGTGGGTTCCAGGGATATGGCAATGGCTGCTTGTCGTTCGCACAAGACGCTGGAGGCGCGGAAAATGCTGCTCGCGGAAGGCCTGGCGGCGCGCGGCTTCCGCGCGACAACAGCGTGTTGCGCAGACCTGTTGCTCCGCGAGCCTTGCGCAACTTCCGCCGCGGATGCAGGCTTGCTGGGACCTGCGGAGGACTCCCCGGGTGAATGATCCGCGGGTGCCGGCGCGCACGTGACCGAAGATAGGCGGGAGCTACCAACGGGAGGTCTAGTAACGCGCTTGACATTGGCGAGTATGTCGATATCGGGAGCTAGCGCCTTGCCTTTTGCGGCGGCATTTACGGCGGCTGCGGCGGCGAGGGTTTTGGGATTGGATTCGACATCGCCACCGACAAGAAGACGGACGGCGAGCCGTCTGCCCAGGTTGGGCTTGCCGGCTTCAGTGACACGGGGATCGCAGGTAGCGTTGCCCGAGGAGCTTGGAGGAGGCATGGACGACGTAATTTTGGAGTAAAGCTCGTCCATTTCGAACTTGGCTGCAATAAGGTCCGCTTCCATTGCAATATCAGGAGCGCCAATGGTGCAACTATGTCTGAGCCAATTCTCCTCGGAAAAAGAAGAAGTACCGGAGTTCCGCTTCCTTGATCTTTGTCCGTCGTGAGGTTTCCACAGACCGACGTGAAAAGGAGAAGGGATGCGTGGATGGAAATGATAGGACCAGTGGTGAAGTGGGCAGTGGGACCGAGGTCAGTGTCAGGGGACAGACAGGAATCAGAGCACATGGGATTTGCACTGGCAGTGGGACTTGTGTATGATCGGTACACCCTCATTCTCGTTAGACTGGCATATGTTATACTGACAGCGACGCTTAGTGTAGCCGCAGCGGACCAAAGAAGGTCCTATCACATGCGTTATACTGACAGTTTGACCCAGGGCGTTTAGTCAAGGTTCTATACGTTCTTAAATGGTAATGCTGTTTTATGAACGGTTAAGACAGTTATTCAGCGTTAACGGAATTTTACGGCCCAAGTCTGGTTTCGTCGCCTCGTGCGACTTGGCCCGCAACCGAGTTATCTCACTAGCCCGCTACGTCCAAACACTGTAGCCACTGCTTCCGCCGGTGAGAAGACTGAGAGTGAAGGTGTATCTCAAGTGGAACGGAACGGAAAGGAACAATTACGGCAGGCTGATATTTCATTGGGCTGTAAAAACAGTTGATTGTAGGGGAAGAGGAGAGGCGAGGCGAGTTGAGGCGATGAGTAGCAACTGGGTAAACTCGCGAGCACGCAGACACGCGCAGAGAAAACACGCTGGAAAAGAAGATGCAAGCTGTAAACTAGGCGATTAGATTCCCTACCCGTTATGTTCGTTTGTTTTCGAGCTGGCATTCCATTCCAAGTTCCGATTGTGTTTGTTTGCACGAAACAGTTTCTGTGGACCCAATGTTACCTGTAAATTGGGAATTGGGGAGAAGGGTAGGGCAGCACCAGTCGTCGTGAGGTGGAAAGAAATGGTGAGCAGAGAGAAGGAATGGGGATGGGTCCCTTTCACCTTGCCACATGCCATGCCATGCCATCCATGGCCAGGTGGATTCGCTGGAGATGGCTAGATCTGCAAGTCACGTTGTTGACCTTTTCTGGCAAAACCCGCGTCATTTCGAAACCAGGACCTTGAAATCAATTGGGTTGGGACCTTGTCTTGCCTGTCAAGCAGTGCCTTGTGGAGATTCTTGTCTTGTCTTGTCTCCTAGAACTGTAACAAAACTACCCTCTTCAGGGTTAGAATAAATTATCAGCCTCACTAGCCCGGAGTAAGAACAGAGCAAAAAGCTTATTAATATATTTCCAGGGCCGCCATTTTCACACCAACTTCTATCTATCAGCAATCCTCCAGAGTACACCTTGTACAAAGGGTTTGAGTGTGAGATGTACCATAGAGTTCCTGGTTTTACTGTTTATGACACCGCCTTTCCGAGACGCGGAAGCAATACGGGCAGCATCAGGCAGAGCATCATTTCAAGATTCCCGTGCAAGAAAAACAGTAATTGTTGATTTCTTGAGGAGGGCTAGCACTAAGGATGTATTACGGTTTGCTTCTGATCGCCCCGATCAGAGTCGATCAATCACTTCCAGGAAGCTAGGGCAGCGATTTCGGGCAATCGGGGGCAATCACCTGATCGCGATCAGCTGATCGCTCCAAGTCGATCAACCGCCTACAACAGCCGATTCAAACACAACCCACACAATCACCGACAATCAGTTGATTGTATTGGGTTGGGGTACCTAGCGACGCCATCGAACAGCTACAGAGTTGTGGAGGGCTTCGTGAAGCCCTCGCACAACCAATACCCTGGCAAGAACTTTCTGGACGCCTCTTGATGCGAAATCACAGGGAAACATTGAACTTCGCTAGTTCCAGGCTGAGGTCTTCGCCCTCGCCAAAGTGGGCACGAAGTTGGAAGGAAAGGGTGACACGCATGCCAGGCAAACACCTGGAATACTCGACGAATTTAAGGGCGCCCCGACCTGATTAACCCCGACCAGATAGCCGATCAGAGGCAAACCATGACACGTCCTAAATATCAACCCAGCAAATGCCATTCTTTTTCCTTGTTTACGGTGGAAACTGCAAATAGCAACTGCCAAGGACGGTGCTCGGTTTGGCCTCGACGCTTTCGTCCATTTCCAGCACTGGAAGGTCCTTGATGATTGGCGTGATCATGGCATGTCATGCTTTCCGTTTGCCGAAGAAATTTGAGTGGTGGTGAGGAGTTTGGGACCCTTCATCTCCAAAAAGCCCATGTTTCCATGAACGTACACGTAGAGCAGATCCAGTTTCATTTATAGTAGCTGCCCGTATCGGAACCCCACCCTGTCATTCCCTGCCGAACTCGAAACTCAGATAATGGTCCTTTCCGCGCCAAGCTGATCCGTAGGGCAAGCAGCAACCCCAAACCAAACCAACCGTCCCACTCACACCTCCCCCTCTCTCTGCCGTTGATCCGACATATGATTCTGCTGAGCTGGCAACGAGAATTCCCGTGCTTTTAGGGGTGTGACAACTCCAAGGTGTTATCATATTTAGAATAGCGCATACATGTAAGAATAAGATATAAAATAAAAAATTCAATTACACCAGAATCAGTAAGAGAGTAAGAATACAAGCTAACCATTTGCATCCACAGACCAGCTGAAATATTTCATCCACATGATATAAGCCCACAATATCACAAATTTACACCCATTCACCTCATTACACCTCTTAAATCACCCCCGGATAATCTCTCCACCAAGGGAAGCACGTTCACGCTCCATTCATCGGCCCATTTACCAGCAGCCCCTGTTGCAAGTGCACCTGACCTTAGCTTCTGAAGCAGAGTAACGGAGGAGGGAGTGGATGAAGGAGATGTGGGTGACATGGGAGGTGTGGATAAGGCACCCGAGGAGGAAGAGGAAGCCAAGGTGGAGGAATAGGTGGTGGTAGTGGCAGGGGAGTGGGCCTTGAGAGCAGCAGAACCTTCTGGAAAGCCGCAGAAGATGTCAATAAGTTGCGAGGCGAGCTCTGAGGAGTCTGAGAAGAGAAGGCCGTTGGTGCCGTCCTTTACTAGCTCGTGAATGCTGAGGGTGGAGGGGGGAAGGCGGGGAGGGGAGGGGAGGGAGTGGGGGAGAGGGAGGGATGGGAGAGTCTGAGAAGAAGCCGTTGGTGCCGTCGTTAACTAGCTCGTTGATGCTGGTTGGACAGACAAGGGGGAAAAGGAGATGGATATGACAAAGAGGATGGGGAAGGCGAGCGCTGAGGAGTCTGAGAAGAGGAGGCCGTTGGTGCCGCCCTTGACTAGCTCGTGGATGCTGATTGGACAGAAAGAAAAAACACCGTGAGGGGGGAAGTATAAGGGAATGGAAAGGGAGGGGGATAGAAAAAGGTGGACAGAGAGTCTGAGAAGAGGAGGCCGTTGGTGCTGCCCTTGACTAGCTCGTGGATGCTACAGGTGGGGAAAACAAAACATTAAGGTGGTGGATGGGAGGGGGAGGGGGAGGGGGGGATAAAGGCGATGAATGTTCGTGGATGCTACAGGCAAGCCTTGGATGTCCGTGGATGCTACAGGCAAGCCTTGGATGTTCGTGGATGCTACAGGCAAGCGGAAACTGTGGAGGGGAGGGGAGGAGCGGGAATACGGGATGTTCGGCCCTTGGAATGTTCAACCCTTGGAATGTTCAGCCCTTGGAATGTTCAGCCCTTGGAATGTTCAACACTTGGAATGTTCAACCCTTGGAATGTGCAACCCTTGGAATGTTCAACCCTTGGAATGTTCAACCCTTGGAATGTTCAACCCTTGGAATGTTCAGCCCTTGGAATGTTCAGCCCTTGGAATGTTCAACCCTTGGAATGTTCAGCCCTTGGAATGTTCAGCCCTTGGAATGTTCAGCCCTTGGAATGTTCAGCCCTTGAAATTTTCAACCCTTGGAATGTTCAGCCCTTGGAATGTTCAGCCCTTGAAATGTTCAGCCCTTGGAATGTTCAGCCCTTGAAATGTTCAACCCTTGGAATGTTCAGCCCTTGGAATGTTCAGCCCTTGAAATGTTCAGCCCTTGGAATGTTCAGCCCTTGAAATGTTCAACCCTTGGAATGTTCAGCCCTTGAAATGTTCAGCCCTTAGAATGTTCAGCCCTTGGAATGTTCAGCCCTTGGAATGTTCAGCCCTTGGAATGTTCAGCCCTTGAAATGTTCAACCCTTGGAATGTTCAGCCCTTGAAATGTTCAGCCCTTGGAATGTTCAGCCCTTGAAATGTTCGTACCAGGAATAGGAGATGGTGCACACGGGAAGGCTGCACCTGAACATATTCACCAATTTCATTTATTTCAGGGCACATCCAGTGCTGAGAGTTGTTGTGAGTTGTCGTGTTTTGAGTCGACTCAAAACACGACTCACTACACACGACCGCACCTGAACATATTCACATCAATTTCGGGCCACATCCAGGGCTGAGAGTTGTTGTGAGTTGTCGTGGGAATTTCACATAGGAAATCGTCACAAGCACTCACCAGGAATAGGAGATGGCGCACACGGGAAGGCCGCAGCCAAACACATCAACCACTTTCAATCAAAGCCTGGGGAGACCAAGCCTTCTATCTAACAGGGCCTTATCAGGAAAGAGTCACCAGAAATGCCTTACCAGGAATAGGAGATGGCGCATAGGAAGGCCGCACCTAAACATGTCCACCACTCTCATTGGCAGATCCAAGCCTGAGCTAATCCAGGCCCGAGGGGTTGTGTGTTGTAACATTCTTCCGCCCAGCACTCACCAGGAATAGGAGATGGCGCAGACGGGAAGGCCGCACCCAAACATGTCCACCACTTTCATAGGCAGATCCAAGCCTGAGGACGAGGTATGGAGGGACACGCCCAGGTCCGCCGAGCCTAGCAGCCTCGGGTAATCCTCCGGAGCAAGCCATGCGGTTCGGAACGACACGTGGCGCAATCTGAGCCGTCGCATCTTTGCTTCGTAGTGCGATCGGAGGGCTCCTTTGCCTAACAGCGGGAAGAGGGACGAGAGAGAGAAGGGAGGGAAGAGGGGGAAGAGGGGGAAGAGGGGGAAGAGGGGGAAGAGGGGGAAGAGGCGGAAGAGGGGGAAGAGAGATTGAAGAAAGGTGTGCCTAAGAAGATATCAAAAAAAGTTCCTACCAATGAATTCTCAGCGATAAACGCCAAGTGGGAGATATCTTTCTGAGGTGCCTCAAAAGTCGTCTCATGCTTTCCGCCTCGAAAAGTGCTCACCCATGACAATAAACGCCAGGGTGGGAGACTTTTGAGTGCTGAAAGTCGCCTCTAAAGGTGCTCACCCATGACAATAAACGCCAGGGTGGGAGACTTTTGAGTGCTGAAAGTCGCCTCTAAAGGTGCTCACCCATGACAATAAACGCCAGGGTGGGAGACTTTTGAGTGCTGAAAGTCGCCTCTAAAGGTGCTCACCCATGACAATAAACGCCAGGGTGGGAGACTTTTGAGTGCTGAAAGTCGCCTCTAAAGGTGCTCACCCATGACAATAAACGCCAGGGTGGGAGACTTTTGAGTGCTGAAAGTCGCCTCTAAAGGTGCTCACCCATGACAATAAACGCCAGGGTGGGAGACTTTTGAGTGCTGAAAGTCGCCTCTAAAGGTGCTCACCCATGACAATAAACGCCAGGGTGGGAGACTTTTGAGTGCTGAAAGTCGCCTCTAAAGGTGCTCACCCATGACAATAAACGCCAGGGTGGGAGACTTTTGAGTGCTGAAAGTCGCCTCTAAAGGTGCTCACCCATGACAATAAACGCCAGGGTGGGAGACTTTTGAGTGCTGAAAGTCGCCTCTAAAGGTGCTCACCCATGACAATAAACGCCAGGGTGGGAGACTTTTGAGTGCTGAAAGTCGCCTCTAAAGGTGCTCACCCATGACAATAAACGCCAGGGTGGGAAACTTGACTCCAGATTTTAATCTCCCTCCACTTGCTCCCACTCCTGCTCCCACTCCTGCTCCTGCTGCTATCATCCCCCCCCTCCCCGCTCACTCACTCCTGCCGCTCCGTTTCTAGAACCCTCCCCTCCCCCTAGACGAGCAAACTCACCCGTGACAATAAACGCCAGGGTGGGAAACTTGGCTCCAGATTTCAACCTCCCTCCACTTGCTCCCACTCCTGCTGCTCCTGTCGTCACCGCCCCTCCCCGCTCGCCCTCTCCTTCCCCTTCTTTTCTTGACCCTGCACTAGACGAATCTCCTCCCACTCCTGCTGCCCCTGCTGCTGCTGCTGCTGCTGTTGCTGCTTCTGCTGCCACTGCCGACGCTGATATCCCATCGGCTTTTTTGGAATCCAGCAGAGGAACGCCACCAGCAGCACCTCGTTCCCCCTCGCCTCCTCCCTCTCCTCCAAACTCCCCCTCGCCTGCCATTGCTGCCACGCGCCGGTCATACATGAGCGCTGCTTCGAGCAACACGTCAAAATCCTCGTCTGCAGTCCTGCAGTGTGTGAGAAGGTGGAGACAGGTTCAAAGGAGTGAAAAGGATGTGAAGCCAATCCCCCTCGCCTCCTTCCTCTCTTCCAAAAACCCCCTCCCATGCCATCGCTGCCTGCCATCGCTGCCTGCCATCGCTGCCTGCCACACGCCGGTCCTACATGAGCGCTGCTTCGATCAACACGTCAAAATCCTCGTCTGCAGTCCTGCAGTGGGTGTATAGTGCGGTGGGAAGGAGTTGGAAGGAGTGGGAGACTTCTTTTCTAGCCATCGCTGCCATGCCACGCGCCTGTCATACATGAGAGCTGCCTCTAGCAGCACATCAACATGAGACGGAAACGGCCACTCACCAGCTAGAGCTGCTGACAACAAGGGCAGGGCGGTCTGGTCTGAGAGTCCACTGCGTGGTTCCTGATGTGGTGAGACGCGGTGCGATGCAATAAGAAATGGTGAGACGCGGTTTAATGCGGTGTGATGCGTGTGCTCTGACATGGTGTGGTGCACAGAGTGATGTGGAGTGAGGTGCAATGAGGTGTAATAAGGTGCGGCAAGGTGTGGTGACGAGAAGGCAGACCTGAGATCCGGGGGGGCATGCGGAGGGAACTTCCATACCATTCCCCCGCATGACTTTTGAGTCGACTCAAAAGTCACCGCGGAGGGAACTTCCATACCATTCCCCCGCATGCCAATGGTAGCACAGGAGTCACTTCATTCCAATGGTAACATACAGAGGATGGTAATCGGAAAGGCTTTGAAAACACTTCAAAGTGTGACTTTTGAGGCGCCTCAAAAGGGATGGCATGCGGAGGGAACTTCCATGCCATGCCAATGGTAGCATACAGAAAAATCACTTTTGAGAATTCTCAAGAGTGATTTCAGTACTTGCATGCCATGCCAATGGTAGCACACAGAAAAAATCACTTTTTAGAATTCTCAAGAGTGATTTCAGTACTTGCATGCCATGCCAATGGTAGCACACAGAGGATGGTAATCGGAAAGGCTTTGAAAACACTCCAAAGTGCAGGGGAAAGTGGAACGCACTCCAAACAAACGGAATTGAGGGGGAGGTGGAAGAGGGTTAGGGGCATGGAGCCTAGTGGAAGGGGGCTGGGGGAATGGGGGCAGGGGAAGTGGAGTGGGGAAGACATGGCACAGACAGTTTGGAGCTACGTGCGTACTGGGTGCGGGTGGGGAGAAACAGCTGTTGAGCAGTGATTGGTCGATGCGCCCCAGAACCTGTTGGGACCAGGGGAGTGGGGGGGAAAGAGCGGGTGGGGGGGGGGGGGGGGGGGAAGGGGAGTGAGGGGAGGGGAGTGGGGGGAGGGGAGTGGGGGAAGGGGAGTTGGGGGAGGGGAGTGGGGGAAGGGGAGTTGGGGGAGGGGAGTGGAGGGAGGGGAGCGTGGGGAGGGGGTGTGAAAAGGGGAGTGAGAAGAGGGAAGTGGGGTAAGGGGAAAAGGGAGCAGGGGAAGCAGTGTGGGGCGTGGAGATGGGACAGGGGGAGTGGGCCAAAGAGAGTGTGCAAACGATTGCACTCTGATTCGGTGTGTTTGAAGGCAGAGTGGGAAAAGAGATGACCTTTGAGTCGACTCAAAAGACAGGGGGGAGTGGGGCAAACAGAGCGTGCGAACAGTTGTATACTTATTCGGCGTGTTTGTAGGCAGAGTGTCAAAAGCTTGATTGGCGGAGTGGGAAATGGGGGAATGGCTTGGGAGTGGCATGCTCACCTCTCCCAGACCCAGCCCACGCCCACCCACGCCCCTCCCAACACATCCTGCACCCCCCCCAACCCATGCACACCTCTCCCAACCCATCGCACCTCTCCCAACCTATCCCCGGCCTCTCCCAACCCATGCACACCTCTCCCAACCTATCCCCGGCCTCTCCCAACCCATGCACACCTCTCTCATCTCCTCTAAGGTGCTGGGTCGGAAGAAGGCAGGCGGGCGGTCGTACAGAACAGTGGCTCTGAAGGCGCATGGGTAGGGAGGCATATGGAGAGAAGAGAAGAAAGGAGAGCAGAAAAGCACCAAGGAGCAGATGAGATCTAAGAAGCACGCAAAGCAGAGGGGCATGGCAGGCATACATAACAACATGGCAGCAGCAGCACAGGAAACACAGGAAAAACTCACTCTTGGTGTTGTTTCCGCATCTGCACCCCTTTACACTGCTCTGCAACCCCTTAGACGTCACCCCTCTTCACCGCTCCCCACCTCACCGTATATCCCAGTTGTTTGCCAGCTCCTGCTGCATGGCTCGAGTCACACATATGTGTGCCGCTGCTTGGCGTGCTATGGTGGTCTCGTACCTGGGGGTTTGAGGGGGGGCGGATGAGAGGCATGGGGAGGAAGACAGAGGGCAGGCGGCACGAGGCAGGGGGTGTGCAGGGTTGTTCACGATGAGGTGTGGAGGGGCGTTGACGAGGGGGTGTGCAGGGTTGTTCACGATGAGGTGTGGAGGGGCGTTGACGAGGGGGTGTGCAGGGTTGTTCACGACGAGGTGTGGAGGGGCGTTGACGAGGGGGTGTGCAGGGTTGTTCACGATGAGGTGTGGAGGGGCGTTGACGAGGGGGTGTGTGGGGCCAAAGTGGAGGCCAAAGAGTGGAGCCAAGGTTGTGTTTGTGTCTCTTGAGATTGAGTTTGTGTCAAGAGTGATAGCACCCATCCGCCTCCCCTTCTTACCCAAACCACTTTTGTGAATTCTCAAAAGTGATTTCAATAGAGTGATAGCACCCATCCACCTCCCCTTCCCACACAAACCATCCCCCCTTCCCTCCCTTCCTCCCCCCCCCCACCACAAACAAACGCATAAAAGCGCTTTACTTGTGGATCTTCATGAGTGGGTGTGCGGGGCTGAAGAGGAGGCCAAAGAGAGTGCAGCCAAAGGCATGGCATAATGCAGCGCACTCATCAACGCAACAAGACAGGCACGCGCCCCTAGAAAATCCCTTCAGAACGCACCATATGTGGATCGTCACGAGTGGGTGTGAAGTGAGGGTGTTTTTGAGACGTCTCAAAAACACCCTCACTTCACGCGCCCCTAGAAAATCCCTTCAGAACGCACCATATGCGGGGCCAAAGCGTAGGCCAAAGAGAAGGAAGGCAAAGATGTGCCAGTCAATGACAAAGGAGGCTACAGCGTGCGAGGAAGCCAAACCACCGTGCACAGGGAGAGACCTCAACCACACTGCACCCCTATGAAAACCTTCAGCACACACCACTTGTGGATCTTCACGAGGGGGTGTGCGGGGCCGAAACGTAGGCCAAAGAGAGTGAATCCGAAGTTGTGCCAGTCGATGACGAATGAGGCCCGCCGCACTAGCCCAGCGAAGCGCACCACTGTGAAGGTGGGGATGGTGGGTGGGTTCTGAGGGGAGTGGGTTGGGGGTGGGGGGGGGGGGGGGGAAGGAGGGCGGGGAGGAGGGGGTAAAAAGAGGAGAAGAGTGGGGTTGTCCAAAGAGAGTGAAGGCGAAGCTGTGCCAGTCTAATGCGAAGGAGGCTCGGGAGGGGGGGGGCGGCAGGGTGAGGAGGAAGAAAAGAGGCAGTTGAGCCAGTCGATGACGAATGAGGCCCGCCGCACTAGCCCTGCGAAGCGCACCACTGTGAAGGTGGGGATGAAAAGGGAGGGGGCGGGGAGGAGGGGGACAGAGGGCAGAGGAGGGGCTTGGGATGTCCCAAGAGAGTGAAGCCGAAGTTGGTGCCAGTCGATCACGAACAAGGCTGTGAGCAGCGCATGTTTTTTGAGAATTCTCAAAAAAACATGCTCTGAGCGCTAGCCCAGCGATCCGGACCACTGTGAAGGTGCGGATGGTCGGGGGGTTCTGAGGGATGGGGAAGGGGGAGGGGAGAGGCGAGAAGGAGCAGGGAAAAAGGCCAGGGGACGGGGTTTGGGGGGAGGGGGAGAAGGGGAGCAGAGAAGGGTGGAGCAGGGAGGGAGTGGTGGGGATGGTTGGGTGGGGATGGCGGCAGGGGGTTTGTGAAGAGGGATGGGGAAGGAAGGGGCCCAGCCAGGGGAGGGGAGGAGGGGGGAAAGAAGGGTCAGGAGGGGTTTGGAACGTGTGTGAAACCCAAGTCATGCCAGTCAATGGCGAACGACGCTTGGCGCACTAAGCCAGCGACACAAACCACTGAGAAGGCTGGGGCGGAGGGGGGGTTTTGGGGGGGAAAGGGGAAGGAAAGAAAAGAAAAGCCAACGTTGTGTGGAGCCGAAGTTGTGCCAGTCAACGGCGAACGAACCACAGAGAGGGCTGGTGCGGAGGAGGGTTTTTAGGCAGGAAAGGGGAAGAAAGGAAAAGAAAAGCCAACGTTGTGTGGAGCCCAAGTCGTGCCAGTCAATGGCGAACGACGCCTGCCGTACTAAGCCAGCGACACGAACCACTGAGAGGGTTGGAATGGTGGGGGGGTTTTGAGGGGAAGATGGGAGGGGAGAGAAGGAGTGGAAGAAAAAGCAAGGGGGACAGGAGTCGGGGGGAGGGGGGAGACGAGAAGACTAAACACTCACCTGTAGAAGGTAGATGTCGGGGGGAGGCGTGGCGATGCAGAGCACCCAGAGGAAGCAGAGCACTTGGAGGATGAGCTTGATGGGCAGCGAGAGTGCTAGAAGAAGGCAGAACCGAAGCACAAGGGGTTTAGGGGAAAGAAGGCACGACACGGAGCACTCACTCTGGCCCTCACCTGGAGAAGGTAGAAATCGGGGGGAGGCGTGGCGACGCAGAGCACCCAGAGGAAGCAGAGCACTTGGGCGATGAGCTTTATGGGCAGCAGCAGCAGGTAGAGCGGGCGCGAGAGGCCGCTGGGGAAGGGCATGCCCTGGGGAGACGGGGAGAGAAGGGGGGAAGAAGAAGGGGGAGTGGAGGGGCGGGAGGGAGGAAGCAGAGGACTTGAGCGATGAGCTTGATCGGTAGCAGCAGCAGGTAGAGCGGGCGGGAGAGGCCGCTGGGGAAGGGCATGCCCTGATACATTGAGAGAATATGGGGGGGAAATGGGGGGAGAGAAGGGGCGAGAGGTGGGGAGAAACGGGGGGGGAGGGGAGGGGGGAGAGGGAGGAAGCAGAGCACTTGGGCAATGCGAGAGGCCACTGGGGAAGGGCACCCTGGGGACATGGGGAGAGGAGGAGGCGGGAAGATGGGAAGCAAGGAATGAAAGTGGACAGCAGCAGCAGCAGCAGCAGGCGCAGGTGAATGCGTGGATGCTTTGCCATCAGAAGCCCTACCTTTCGTTTCCCCTGTAATCCCCCCCACTTCCTCACCAGCAGGCGCAGGTGAATGCGCGGATGCTCCGCCACCGAGGGGTGCACCTGCGACCCTGCGGAGCAGGGTTTAGGGTTTTGACAATGAAAGGGCGGGGGGTAACGGAGGGGAGGGAGGGGGAGAGGGGGGGACGGGGGAGGGAGGGGGGATGGAAAAGGGAAACGGGGGGGAAAAAGAGGGGGGAGCGGGGGAGGTTTGGAGTGTGGGGAGCACAAGGGGATGGAATCTTGAGCAAACGCAGAGGAAACTTCTGAGAATTCTCAGAAGTCAACTCCACAAAGGGAATGGAATCTTGAGCAAACGCAGAGGAAACGGAAAAGCGGATAAGGCAGCGGGGAGGAGGGACGGGAAGGTGGGGGAGAGGGGGAGAAGGGAAAGAAGGGGGAGGAGGGGGAGGGGGAGGAGTAGGGGGAAACAGGAAGGGAGACAGGAGAGAGCATGGGATGGGACGAAAAGCAAACAGCAACACGCGGAATAGAGGGGTGGAGCAGAGGGAAGGGAAGAACGGAGCAGTAAGCAGGAAAATGGTGAGGATATTATTATGAGCGGAGAACGAAACTTTCTTTTCTCGAATTGCACATGGATACAGCAATGTCAGGTTTTGTCGAATGATGTGCAGGCTTCATTCGATCCAATAACCCTTTCGATTCTGATAAAAAACCTAGTACTTCCATTCCGTACTCTCGATATAGACTAACCTGCGTAGCCGATAAGGTCGACTTCTAGTCCCGCCTGCACGTTCCGAAGCAACAATCACAAGAGGGAACGTACCATAAGTAACGCGAATCGATAATACTCACTATAAGATACTCCGTGACATGTTAAGTAACGCAATTCGTAAACTTGGAGACAATGGCGCCGCGATAGGAGTCCATTGAAAGGATCTATTGGCTGCAGCACGGTAGCGCAGGATAAGGCATATTCAACTCACTGTTCTTAACTTTCCAGCATACTTAACGGCCTTGAAAGTAAATCACTATTCACATTAAGGTTACTGTCACCTCATACAACATTCGGCAAATGAATCCCGCGCGGGTTGTTCGCCATGTAACAAGTGAATGCGTTGACGAAACGAGTATTGGCTAGCAGTATGTATAGATCACGGCTAGCGAAAACTGTCGCGAGAAGTTGGATTCACCTGATTGGCTAGCGACAGCGCGTGGTACTGCATGCGAGGGCTGCGACCCACATCGCCGACCACCACCACCGCCGCGCGACCGCGCCGTCGCCTCGTCATTCGGCAATGCCTAGGCTTCGGCAATCCCTAAGCTTCAAGAACCTTGTAAGATCGGATCTGGGCGGGTTACCTTGAAATGGAAACCATTAGCAGAATGATCCAGCCGAATTGCTAAGGTGCAACAATTCATTACTATTTCAACCAAAGATGCACGCGTGATTTGAAGTTGCAGGAGACTAGTGGGCTAAGGGCGCGTGTGGTCTGTTTAAAAGTTCAAAATAACGTTCGAGCTTTGGGTGGTTACCCTATTCGCTAATTTCGCGAAGGGTGCTTCGCGAACCAAGCATTGTATGGGCTCTTCAAAAGTTCGAGTTTGAAATATGAACTTGACTCGAGTCGGAGGCGCGAACGTGCGTGCGCACGTTCATGCGAGCGTGTGTGATTTGCAGCACGTCCGAACAGCTGGCGAGACGGACGAGCGCTTCGCCAGTGCATGAAGTTGCACAACGAAGACACCCCACAATTCGTGCACACAGTTGTAGCCACGTGTCCAGCATACAAGGTGTTGCCATGGGGGCTATTTGTACCCTGGTTACACACTCGGCGCGGAAGGTGAGTTGGAGCTCTAGGTCCTTGTAAACCGAGGCGCAAAATGTTGACGTGGGGTACCGTCAAGACGAGCGAACCGGGTAACCTATTATGTTGACGTGCGGCTCGGCTCGTTTTTACAAGTTCGAATGTCGGGGTTCGACCTTGTATGTGTGTGTGATATTTTACAGTGTGGTAAGCCCGATGTTCGAACTTCGATAGAAGGAAATTCGAACTTCTTTCGTTGTAAGTTCGAAACTAAAATTCGCCCTAAAAACATAAACTTTTACAAATTTCAAAGACCTCACGCGCCCTAAGGGCGTGCCCGCCCTAACTTCGAATTTGCCGGTAGGGCTCATGTAAGCCCACTCCATAGATCTGTTTCTTTATTACGTTCTGACTCCCAACCATGGTACATACTCACTCCTCCAAATTCCATTCTATCAACTAATTCTGATCTAGAACTGCTATAACCTGGATTGGAATGGTGGCCTTTCACATGAAAAAAAAAAAAAAAAAACAACACACACACACACACACAGACACAGACACAGACACAAACAGACACAGACACAACAGACACAGACACAGACAGACACAGACACACAGACACACAGACACACACACACACACACACACACACACACACACACACACACACACACACACACACACACACACACACACACACACACACACACACACACACACACACACACACACACACACACACACACACACACACACACACACACACACACACACACACACACACACACACACACACACACACACACACACACACACACACACACACACACACACACACACACACACACACACACACACACACACACACACACACACACACACACACACACACACACACACACACACACACAACACACACGCACGCACGACACGCACGCACGCACGCACGCACGCACGCACGCACGCACGCACGCACGCACGCACGCACGCACGCACGCACGCACGCACGCACGCACGCACGCACGCACGCACGCACGCACGCACGCACGCACGCACGCACGCACGCACGCACGCACGCACGCACGCACGCACGCACGCACGCACGCACGCACGCACGCACGCACGCACGCACGCACGCACGCACGCACGCACGCACGCACGCACGCACGCACGCACGCACGCACGCACGCACGCACGCACGCACGCACGCACGCACGCACGCACGCACGCACGCACGCACGCACGCACGCACGCACGCACGCACGCACGCACGCACGCACGCACGCACGCACGCACGCACGCACGCACGCACGCACGCACGCACGCACGCACGCACGCACGCACGCACGCACGCACGCACGCACGCACGCACGCACGCACGCACGCACGCACGCACGCACGCACGCACGCACGCACGCACGCACGCACGCACGCACGCACGCACGCACGCACGCACGCACGCACGCACGCACGCACGCACGCACGCACGCACGCACGCACGCACGCACGCACGCACGCACGCACGCACGCACGCACGCACGCACGCACGCACGCACGCACGCACGCACGCACGCACGCACGCACGCACGCACGCACGCACGCACGCACGCACGCACGCACGCACGCACGCACGCACGCACGCACGCACGCACGCACGCACGCACGCACGCACGCACGCACGCACGCACGCACGCACGCACGCACGCACGCACGCACGCACGCACGCACGCACGCACGCACGCACGCACGCACGCACGCACGCACGCACGCACGCACGCACGCACGCACGCACGCACGCACGCACGCACGCACGCACGCACGCACGCACGCACGCACGCACGCACGCACGCACGCACGCACGCACGCACGCACGCACGCACGCACGCACGCACGCACGCACGCACGCACGCACGCACGCACGCACGCACGCACGCACGCACGCACGCACGCACGCACGCACGCACGCACGCACGCACGCACGCACGCACGCACGCACGCACGCACGCACGCACGCACGCACGCACGCACGCACGCACGCACGCACGCACGCACGCACGCACGCACGCACGCACGCACGCACGCACGCACGCACGCACGCACGCACGCACGCACGCACGCACGCACGCACGCACGCACGCACGCACGCACGCACGCACGCACGCACGCACGCACGCACGCACGCACGCACGCACGCACGCACGCACGCACGCACGCACGCACGCACGCACGCACGCACGCACGCACGCACGCACGCACGCACGCACGCACGCACGCACGCACGCACGCACGCACGCACGCACGCACGCACGCACGCACGCACGCACGCACGCACGCACGCACGCACGCACGCACGCACGCACGCACGCACGCACGCACGCACGCACGCACGCACGCACGCACGCACGCACGCACGCACGCACGCACGCACGCACGCACGCACGCACGCACGCACGCACGCACGCACGCACGCACGCACGCACGCACGCACGCACGCACGCACGCACGCACGCACGCACGCACGCACGCACGCACGCACGCACGCACGCACGCACGCACGCACGCACGCACGCACGCACGCACGCACGCACGCACGCACGCACGCACGCACGCACGCACGCACGCACGCACGCACGCACGCACGCACGCACGCACGCACGCACGCACGCACGCACGCACGCACGCACGCACGCACGCACGCACGCACGCACGCACGCACGCACGCACGCACGCACGCACGCACGCACGCACGCACGCACGCACGCACGCACGCACGCACGCACGCACGCACGCACGCACGCACGCACGCACGCACGCACGCACGCACGCACGCACGCACGCACGCACGCACGCACGCACGCACGCACGCACGCACGCACGCACGCACGCACGCACGCACGCACGCACGCACGCACGCACGCACGCACGCACGCACGCACGCACGCACGCACGCACGCACGCACGCACGCACGCACGCACGCACGCACGCACGCACGCACGCACGCACGCACGCACGCACGCACGCACGCACGCACGCACGCACGCCGCACGCACGCACGCACGCACGCACGCACGCACGCACGCCACGCACGCACGCACGCACGCACGCACGCACGCACGCACGCACGCACGCACGCACGCACGCACGCACGCACGCACGCACGCACGCACGCACGCACGCACGCACGCACGCACGCACGCACGCACGCACGCACGCACGCACGCACGCACGCACGCACGCACGCACGCACGCACGCACGCACGCACGCACGCACGCACGCACGCACGCACGCACGCACGCACGCACGCACGCACGCACGCACGCACGCACGCACGCACGCACGCACGCACGCACGCACGCACGCACGCACGCACGCACGCACGCACGCACGCACGCACGCACGCACGCACGCACGCACGCACGCACGCACGCACGCACGCACGCACGCACGCACGCACGCACGCACGCACGCACGCACGCACGCACGCACGCACGCACGCACGCACGCACGCACGCACGCACGCACGCACGCACGCACGCACGCACGCACGCACGCACGCACGCACGCACGCACGCACGCACGCACGCACGCACGCACGCACGCACGCACGCACGCACGCACGCACGCACGCACGCACGCACGCACGCACGCACGCACGCACGCACGCACGCACGCACGCACGCACGCACGCACGCACGCACGCACGCACGCACGCACGCACGCACGCACGCACGCACGCACGCACGCACGCACGCACGCACGCACGCACGCACGCACGCACGCACGCACGCACGCACGCACGCACGCACGCACGCACGCACGCACGCACGCACGCACGCACGCACGCACGCACGCACGCACGCACGCACGCACGCACGCACGCACGCACGCACGCACGCACGCACGCACGCACGCACGCACGCACGCACGCACGCACGCACGCACGCACGCACGCACGCACGCACGCACGCACGCAC